CTGACCCATAAATTTTTCCCTTATTCAAAGTCTAAACCCATAATTCTTTTGTTGTTAATGGGCCGGATCATGTTCTATCTGCGAATTAAGCGTGTTTGGGTGCGCCTATAAGCCCAAATAAGCCTACATTTAAATTGAGGATATTGCATAAAATCAGGCATTTAAGTTTTCAAATTCAAAAATCAAATCTAAACTTTATTTAATCAAAAATCAAGTATTACATAATAATTATATATTAAATGTTTTCACCCAATTCAATTATAAACCCTAATTTTTTTTCATTCTTTTCACTCACTCTCCCTCCCCATCTTCTTCATCTCCTTCTCATGCCTTCCTTCGATACCGTTTGATTCGCCATTGTCGGGAAAAACTTTCCATCGCTGGACTCAATGGAGAAGTCAATATCGTGACGTGCCTTCTCGAGACCACCGTCGTCGAGCTTCCCACACAGCAGCGAGCCCGAGAGTACCGCTGCCACGTGCAATCGACGACGGTACTGAGATGCGCTCAAATCGTGGCTGCGAAAGGTGCGCCCATCGTTACTGCGCACTGTCCTCTTCTCCTCCTTTGTTCTGATTTCTTTATTTGGAAAATTTTGTAGTGCAAGTCCATCCTTTATAAAAAAGGTGAAGTTTGATCCCTTGTGGCATAATTGTAGAATAGGTCCCGAATTGTAAGTTAGGTACTCTAATTCGATGGTTTGGAGATTTTCCGCATGGTGGTTAAGTTGTTTCTGTGGGTGTGGTAGTGTTGAAAGAAATCCCTAATTTTAGCAGGCGATGGTTGATTGAAGTTGGAGGTGGTGTTGGAGTAGGTGTTTGTGAGGGGTGGCGACGACGATGTGTGTGATAGTCGTGGCGTCGTTTTCGACGACAATGGTGGTGTGTTTCTGTTGTTAGCGACGGTGGTGCGTTTCTATGGTGTTGTGTTGTTGGCGACGCTGGTACATTTCTTTGGTTAATTTGTGATCAAATATTAGTGGTGGATCGGGGGTGGGATGTTTGATGTATGTGATTAACTATTTAGTTTATTGTGACTAACCATTAAACTATGACCTTAAAATTCGATAATTTGTGACCAACAAATTTGAAAATATGTGATTGATATATAAACAGTGACCTATAATTTTTTTGATCTATGACCAATGAAATATATTATGACGTATAAAATTTTTGATTTGTGATCTCGAAATAATTTGTGACTATTAAGTTTAATAAAATGTGATCAATAAATAAGTTTTGACCTGTAATGATGTACATGTGACCATTAATTGTAT